CTCAATGAAGGTGTCCCTATATATATATATATATATAAAAGGGGAGAAGCTTAGTGGTATAGCTTGTAATGGGTGGGCTGGGCTTAATTGGTAAAAGAGGAGGTGGGGCTTAAAATACCAATTTTTAAATATACACTAAAACCATCTTAACTGAAAGAACGAAGGCAATATTTATATCGCACACGCACCCTTGCAGCATATTGGTTTTCTTTGTGCTACAGATCCTCTTTGCTGTATCCAGATAGATGTCTTTCCCTTCAGTAAATGCAACACTATTTTTTTACATTGTAGCATGGCGATCGATTATAATGCACTAGTAGATAATTATATTTCCCCATGGTGAAATATAATTGGATAGCTGCCATTTCACTGGGAGAAGCTGGGGATATATATAGATTTTACCTACAGCAGCACCTACAGGTCAAACCCAGTACTGCAGCATGACCTCCTGTTGAGCATAATCCCAAATGCTGGACATGGGCGTATTTTAAATGACACCAAAGCCAACTCTACTCTGTGAGGGTAAGGGCAATGGGACACCCCGCCAGTTTAAATAAATATATAAAAATTATACCCATATATATTAAGAGCAGATCTTTTATCTTTCCGTAATCCCTATCAATACCAGTGTTTAACCCTCTGTGAATTGTGCATGTAGACTAAGTACGGGGCATTAGAACTCTAAAGTGTAAAAAGAAAACACTTGGGGGGAGCCTATGTAGAATCCTTCTACCCAATGCATAGCTGGGCAATTGCTGTTTGCATGGTAATACAGCCACTAGATGGCGGCGAGGATCATAAGACATTTCTGTACTCCTTTGCGCCCCCTAGTGGTGGTATTTCCGGCCAAACGGCATTCGCTAGCTTTAAGCTCTTCGCTGAATTAACTGGTCTTTCCCACATAACGCATGCTTTAGAGCAGTGGTTCTGTACCTGTGTAACCTCGGGACCCACATTTGTCCCTGGTCGTTAAGTCGCGACCCAAGTTGCACTGCAATGGAACGCACAGCATTGCAGTATCGCACGGTCCGGTGCAGGTGATCAAACTGTGAGTGGGAGGTGCATTTGGGGTGCCATTCAAAAGATCCAACCAGTCTCCATACCTTACGAGAACTGGAGTGAAACCTCAGCCTGGGGTCCAGTGTGGGCTGCTGCACTGTGACAGAGCTCCATCCATATGTGCTTTGTTTGTAAAGTTCCCTTTGCCTGCCCTGTAGGTAGCCAGAATGTGACATCACTCTGGTCCAGGCACCTCTAGAGGACACGTGAGGGAGTTGTCCGTATAAATGTGGCTCCCTCACGGCCATAGCCCCCAGCCCAGCCCACCTCAAGCTGACACGGTATGGGGCAGCATATTTGAATAGCTGTTTCGTCAGGGCTTTGCCAACGGTCTGAAGAAATCTGGACTGTAAGCTTGGATCATTGTATCAGAGCCAGGGGGATTGCAGATGGCAGCTTGGAGTCAACCAAGTTCCTTAAGACTGTTGTCGCTGAGAGGGGGGGGGGGGGGGTGGTTTCTGCCCCGTAC